GTAGTGTGGAGTGATCGTGGTCTGTGTGGTGTAGTGTGGAGTGATCGTGGTCTGTGTGGTGTAGTGTGGAGTGATCGTGGTCTGTGTGGTGTCGTGTGGAGTGATCGTGGTCTGTGTGGTGTAGTGTGGAGTGATCGTGGTCTGTGTTGTGTAGTGTGGAATGATCGTGGTCTGTGTGGTGTAGTGTGGAGTGATTGTGGTCTGTGTGGTGTGTTGTGGAGTGATCGTGGTCTGTGTGGTGTGGTGTCGTGTGGAGTGATCGTGGTCTGTGTGGTGTAGTGTGGAGTGATCGTTGTCTGTGTTGTGTAGTGTGGAATGATTGTGGTCTGTGTGGTGTAGTGTGGAGTGAGCGTGGTCTGTGTTGTGTAGTGTGGAGTGATCGTGGTCCGTGTGGTGTAGTGTGGAGTGAGCGTGGTCTGTGTGGTGTCGTGTGGAGTGATCGTGGTCTGTGTGGTATAGTGTGGAGTGATCGTGGTCTGTGTGGTGTAGTGTGGAGTGAACGTGGTCTGTGTGGTGTAGTGTGGAGTGATCGTGGTCTGTGTTGTGTAGTGTGGAATGATCGTGGTCTGTGTGGTGTAGTGTGGAGTGATCGTGGTCTGTGTGGTGTAGTGTGGAGCGATCGTGGTCTGTGTGGTGTCGTGCGGAGCGATCGTGTTCTGTGTGGTGTAGTTTGGAGTGATCGTGGTCTGTGTGGTGTAGTGTGGAATGAGCGTGGTCTGTGTTGTGTAGTGTGGAATGATCGTGGTCTGTGTGGTGTAGTTTGGAGTGATAGTGGTCTGTGTTTTGTAGTGTGGAGTGAGCGTGGTCTGTGTGGTGTAGTGTGGAGTGAGCGTGGTCTGTGTGGTGTAGGGTGGAGTGAGCGTGGTCTGTGTGGTGCCGTGTGGAGTGATCGTGGTCTGTGTGGTATAGTGGGGAGTGATCGTGGTCTTTGTGGTGTAGTGTGGAGTGATCGTGGTATGTGTGGTGTAGTGTGGAGTGATCATGGTCTGTGTGGTGTAGTGTGTAGTGATCGTGGTCTGTGTGGTGTCGTGTGGAGTGATCGTGGTCTGTGTGGTGTCGTGTGGAGTGATCGTGGTCTGTGTGGTGTAGTGTGGAGTGATCGTGGTCTGTGTGGTGTCGTGTGGAGTGATCGTGGTCTGTGTGGTGTCATGTGGAGTGATCGTGGTCTGTGTGGTGTAGTGTGGAGTGATCGTGGTCTGTGTTGTGTAGTGTGGAATGATCGTGGTCTGTGTGGTGTAGTGTGGAGTGATCGTGGTCTGTGTGGTGTGGTGTGGAGTGATCGTGGTCTGTGTGGTGTCGTGTGGAGTGATCGTGGTCTGTGTGGTGTAGTGTGGAGTGATCGTTGTCTGTGTTGTGTAGTGTGGAATGATCGTGGTCTGTGTGGTGTCGTGTGGAGTGATCGTGGTCTGTGTGGTATAGTGTGGAGTGATCGTGGTCTGTGTGGTGTAGTGTGGAGTGATCGTGATCTGTGTGGTGTAGTGTGGAGTGAGCGTGGTCTGTGTGGTGTCGTGTGGAGTGATCGTGGTCTGTGTGGTGTAGTGTGGAGTGATCGTGGTCTGTGTGGTGTAGTGTGGAGTGATCGTGGTCTGTGTGGTGTCGTGTGGAGTGATCGTGGTCTGTGTGGTGTAGTGTGGAGTGAGCGTGGTCTGTGTTGTGTAGTGTGGAGTGATCGTGGTCTGTGTGGTGTAGTGTGGAATGATCGTGGTCCGTATGGTGTCGTGTGGAGTGATCGTGGTTTGTGTGGTGTAGTGTGGAGTGATCGTGGTCTGTATGGTGTAGTGTGGAGTGATCGTGGTCTGTGTGGTGTACTGTGGAGTGATCGTGGTCTGTGTGGTGTCGTGTGGAGTGATCGTGGTCTGTGTGGTGTAGTGTGGAATGATCGTGGTCCGTATGGTGTCGTGTGGAGTGATCGTGGTCTGTGTGGTGTAGTGTGGAGTGATTGTGGTCTGTGTGGTGTCGTGTGGAGTGATCGTGGTCTGTGTGGTGTAGTGTGGAGTGAACGTGGTCTGTGTGGTGTAGTGTGGAGTGATCGTGGTCTGTGTGGTGTAGTGTGGAGTGAGCGTGGTCTGTGTGCTGTAGTGTGGAGTGATCGTGGTCTGTGTGGTGTCGTGTGGAGTGATCGTGGTCTGTGTGGTGTAGTGTGGAGTGATCGTGGTCTGTGTGGTGTAGTGTGGAGTGAGCTTGGTCTGTGTGGTGTAGTGTGGAATGATCGTGGTCTGTGTGGTGTCGTGTGGAGAGATCGTGGTCTGTGTGGTGTAGTGTGGAGTGATCGTGGTCTGTGTGGTGTAGTGTGGAGTGATCGTGGTCTGTGTGGTGTAGTGTGGAGTGATCGTGGTCTGTGTGGTGTAGTGTGGAGTGATCGTGGTCTGTGTGGTGTGGTGTCGTGTGGAGTGATCGTGGTCTGTGTGGTGTAGTGTGGAGTGATCGTGGTCTGTATAGTGTGGAGTGATCGTGGTCTGTGTTGTGTAGTGTGGAGTGAGCGTGGTCTGTGTGGTGTAGTGTGGAGTGAGTGTGGTCTGTATTGTGTAGTGTGGAGTGAGCGTGGTCTGTGTTGTGTAGTGTGGAGTGATCGTGGTCTGTGTGGTGTAGTGTGGAGTGATCGTGGTCTGTGTGGTGTAGTGTGTAGTGATCGTGGTCTGTGTGGTGTGGTGTCGTGTGGAGTGATCGTGGTCTGTGTGGTGTAGTGTGGAGTGATCGTGGTCTGTGTTGTGTAGTGTGGAGTGATCGTGGTCTGTGTTGTGTAGTGTGGAGTGAGCGTGGTCTGTGTGGTGTAGTGTGGAGTGATCGTGGTCTGTGTGGTGTAGTGTGGAGTGAGCTTGGTCTGTGTGGGGTAGTGTGGAATGATCGTGGTCTGTGTGGTGTCGTGTGGAGTGATCGTGGTCTGTGTGGTGTAGTGTGGAGTGATCGTGGTCTGTGTGGTGTCGTGTGGAGTGATCGTGGTCTGTGTGGTTTAGTATGGAGTGAGCGTGGTTTGTGTGGTGTAGTATGGAGTGATTGTGGTCTATGTGGTGTAGTGTGGAGTGATCGTGGTCTGTGTGGTGTAGTGTGGAGTGATCGTGGTCTGTGTGGTGTAGTGTGGAGTGATCGTGGTCTGTGTGGTGTAGTGTGGAGTGATCGTGATCTGTGTGGTGTAGTGTGGAATGATCGTGGTCTGTGTGGTATCGTGTGGAGTGATCGTGGTCTGTGTGGTGTAGTGTGGAGTTAGCTTGGTCTCGGTGGGGTTGTGTGGAATGATCATGGTCTGTGTGGTGTCGTGTGGAGTGATCGTGGTCTGTGTGGTGTAGTGTGGAGTGATCGTGGTCTGTGTGGTGTCGTGTGGAGTGATCGTGGTCTGTGTGGTTTAGTATGGAGTGAGCGTGGTTTGTGTGGTGTAGTATGGAGTGATTGTGGTCTATGTGGTGTAGTGTGTAGTGATCGTGGTCTGTGTGGTGTCGTGTGGAGTGATCGTGGTCTGTGTGGTGTCGTGTGGAGTGATCGTGGTCTGTGTGGTGTAGTGTGGAGTGATCGTGGTCTGTGTGGTGTAGTGTGGAGTGATCGTGGTCTTTGTGGTGTTGTGTGGAGTGAGCGTGGTCTGTGTTGTGTAGTGTGGAGTGATCGTGGTCTGTGTGGTCTTTTGTGGAGTGAGCGTGGTCTGTGTTGTGTAGTGTGGAGTGAGCGTGGTCTGTGTGGTGTAGTGTGGAATGATCGTGGTCTGTGTGGTGTAGTGTGGAGTGATCGTGGTCTGTGTGGTGTAGTGTGGAGTGACCGTGGTCTGTGTGGTGTAGTGTGGAATGATCGTGGTCCGTATGGTGTCGTGTGGAGTGATCGTGGTCTGTGTGGTGTAGTGTGGAGTGATCGTGGTCTGTATGGTGTAGTGTGGAGTGATCTTGGTCTGTGTGGTATGGTGTGGAGTGATCGTGGTCTGTGTTGTGTAGTGTGGAATTATCGTGGTCTGTGTGGTGTAGTGTGGAGTGATCGTGGTCTGTGTTGTGTAGTGTGGAATGATCGTGGTCTGTGTGGTGTAGTGTGGAGTGATCGTGGTCTGTGTGGTGTAGTGTGGAGTGATCGTGGTCTGTGTGGTGTGGTGTCGTGTGGAGTGATCGTGGTCTGTGTTGTGTAGTGTGGAGTGATTGTGGTCTGTGTGTTGTAGTGTGGAGTGATCGTGGTCTGTGTGGTGTAGTGTGGAGTGATCGTGGTCTGTGTGGTGTAGTGTGGAGTGAGCGTGGTCTGTGTGGTGTAGTGTGGAGTGACTGTGGTCTGTGTGGTGTAGTGTGGAGTGATCGTGGTCTGTGTGGTGTTGTGTGGAGTGATCGTGGTCTGTGTGGTGTAGTGTGGAGTGAACGTGGTCTGTGTGGTCTAGTGTGGAGTGATCGTGGTCTGTGTGGTGTAGTGTGGAGTGAGCGTGGTCTGTGTGGTGTAGTGTGGAGTGATTGTGGTCTGTGTGGTGTAGTGTGGAGTGATCGTGGTCTGTGTGGTGTTGTGTGGAGTGATCGTGGTCTGTGTGGTGTAGTGTGGAGTGAACGTGGTCTGTGTGGTCTAGTGTGGAGTGATCGTGGTCTGTGTTGTGTAGTGTGGAGTGAGCGTGGTCTGTGTGGTGTAGTGTGGAGTGATCGTGGTCTGTGTGGTGTCGTGTGGAGTGATCGTGGTCTGTGTGGTGTCGTGTGGAGCCAATGTGGTCTGTGTGGTGTCGTTTGGAGTGAACGTGGTCTGCGTTTGTAGTGTGTAGTGAACGTGGGGCGAGCATGGAGAGCGGAGGGCGACCGCCACCGCTATAACACCTCGGCGCGTCGTTAAACCGCTCACCTGCCACCTGGCGACATGAAGCGCGTCGGCTGCGTCGGGTGGCGAAAGGTCTCACCACACAGATTTGGCCCCAGTCGTCACGCGGCCAAAACCCAAAAAACTACAACAACGATCAGGGTGAAGTTTGTCTTTGCCCATGTTGGCTTTATAAAAACGTATATGCGGAGAGTTTTCTCATACCCTGTTGCTGCTGCTTCGGCTTTGTTTGTTGACTGCAGGCCCACACGATCCTAGAGGCGCTGGGAAACGCGTGGACGGTGCTCAACCCCAGTGCCAGTGCCTTCACCAAACATGTGGAGCTGCAGTACAGTCACGTGACCGGCTGCCTGCTGGGCGGTACGTCCCCTCACTCACTCACTCACTAGCTCCTTCGCTCATTCACTCACTCACTCACGAGCTCACTCGCTCCCTCTTTCCCTCACTCACTAACTCACTCGCTAACTTCCTCCCTCACTGACTCGCTCACTCGCTCCCTCCCTCACTCACTAGCTCACTCGCTCACTCCTTCACTCACTCGCTCTCTCCTTCACTCACTCGCTTCTTCACTCACTCGCTCCCTCCCTCACTTACTGTCCTTTGCTCGGTTCTGCTGTTGAGGTGTCCCGACTAATTTCGTGAGATCGCCGATCTCCATCTGTAAACCCAGCCACAAAATTCACGAGAGCCTCATTTGCCATGACGCGGGGAGAGGAGCTCACGGTGTGGCATTTAAAGCGGGGCATCTAAGACCGCCGTGCCGGAGGAGAGCGTGCCAGGGGAGAGAGTGCCGTGGGAGAGAGTGCCGGGGGGGGAGAGTGCCATGGGGAGAGGGTGCCGTGTCAGTGTTTGTAGCTCTCTGGACCTGCTCTACAATGCCACCGTTGTGGGGGGTGTGGAGGGGGGGTGAAGGGGAGGGGGTCACCGTCGCCTTTGCCCAGCGTTGTGGGAGATCAGTTCACGGAGAGTTGCGTCAAACGCAGAGCCGCTGCTATGCCCGAGCCTCTCGAGGTCGCCGTGCACTCACTGCTGTATACCGTGTGTGTACCGTCTCTCCCGTGCGTGTACCGTGGGCGGACCGTGTGTGTGTACCATGTCTGTGTACCGTGTCTGTGTATCGTGCCTGTGTACCGTGCCTGTGTACCGTGCCTGTGTACCATAGGCGTCGTGTTTCGTGTGCAATGCGTGTATACCGTGCGTGTACCATTATGTGTACCGTGCGCGTACCGTGCGTGTGTACTGTGTGCGGCCTGCTCCCACAGCCAGCGTGCGTGTCTACCTGCTGGAGACTTGGCGCCTGGGCTGGGCCCGAGGCTCCGGGTGGAGTTTGGCGGCGTTCCGGCTGCTGCTGGAGGGGCTCCCTGCAGAGCAACGAGCGCGCTACTGCCTGCTGTCTGCCACCGCTCACCGGTCAGGGGCCACGTCTCTCTACCAGTGTCTCTCTACCGGTGTTTCTCTACCAGTGTCTCTCTCTCTCTCTCTCAATGTCTCTCAAATAGTATCTCTCTATCAGTGTATCTCTCTCAGTGTCTCTCTCAGTGTCTCTCTCTCCACGTCTCTCTCAGTGTCTCCGTGCTTCTCTCTCGTGTCTCTTTGTGTGTGTTTGTCTTTCAATGCATGTCTGTCTGCAGCCTCGGTCTCCCAGTGTCTCCCTCTGTCTATCAGGCGTCACCGTGCCCCGTCTCCGAGTCTCTCACCTCGCTCTCCCCTTGTCTCTCTGGCGTGCGTCCGTGTCCCGTCGTCTGCCCTGCACCACCACGATGCCACAACCGCTCAGTCCTCACGGGCCCTGAGCCACACCCATCTCAATGACTAAAACGGAAAATTGCACTAAACTATTTTAGTATTTTACCAGGTGAGGCCCCACTGAGTTGCTACGGAGCTCTTTTTTTAGAGCGACCTGGCCATCACAAATGACAGCTCGACACTGTGACGGCTTGTCGCGTGCAAATTTATAGCAGCCAAATACTCTGAACGTGTGACGTTGATTCTAAACGTGGAGGGAAAAACCGGAGAACCCGGAGACAAATCCACGTGACCATGGGGAGAGAGACACCGCAAACTCCAAATATACAGCAGGCATCAGAGTGGAGATCGAACCCACGACCTCTTGTATACCAGGCGAGGTAGTAAACATCTTACTGTGACTGCTTGGCCAAGGCCAGCCTCTAGTTTCTCATGGCAGTGGTAGCAGTGTTGAAGGTGGCGGTGGTAGTGAAGGTTGTCGTGGTTGTAACGATGGTGGTTGTTGTCGTGGTAGCGGTGGTGGTGGTAGCAGAGTGGTAGTGGTCGTCGCGGTGGTGGTGGCAGTGGTGGTGGCGGTGGTGGTAGCGGCGGTGGTGGTTGTGTGGCGTGAATGCTGACCTCGCTGTGTGCCATGTTCAGGTTCCTGTCCCAGAACGCTGGGGGGCAGCAGGGGGAGGGGGGTGAGGGTGCGGCTGCGGTGGGCGGCACTTCCGAGGCCAGGCACAGGTTCCTGGCCTTCCAGGAGGCCCTGGCGGCCTTCGGGTTCACAGACGCCGTGAGTGGCGCTCACACACATGGCCGCGCCGCGCCACGCAACGCAATGTGGCGCAACACAATACAAGCCTACGACACGACACAAGTCTACAATACGACACAATTCAACCATGTTTGTATATATGTGACTCCGTGTATTTGCATTTCATGGGGAGCAGTAGTGTAGTTGTTAGCACGCTACGCTATGAACCTGGCGATCCGAGATTCCATTCCCGCTCATGGGCAACACCAGTGGCGATTATCTGAACCTGTCCTGGGCCTCTCCTAGGTCAACTAAGCCTCAAATGAGCACCTGGTGAGATGTGTAAACATTGCCACTGGGGAGACAAAGGCGGCCGGGCGTGGTGCTGGCCACCCACCCCTTCGTATGCTGTGCCGGCCTTCATAGGTGCTCACTAACAACACTTGCCCCTACAGTCTGTTAAGACTATACGGGGGAACTTTTTCTTTGTGTGTGTGCCCCCTTTGATGTCTGTCTGTGTGTGTGTGCTCGTGGGGTCATGCCGTAGGAGACGGAGTGCGTGCTGGCGCTGCTGGCTGCCGTTCTGCACCTGGGCGATGTCCCCATCACCCCCTCCCCCTACGAGGACGGCACCAGCTGGGCTCACCTGCCCTCCACGTGGCAGCTCCAGATGGGTGAGTGAGGGGAGCGTGGTGAGTGAGGGGAGTGTGGTGAGTGAGGGGAGCGTGGTGAGTGAGGGGAGCGTGGTGAGTGAGGGGAGCGTGGTGAGTGAGTGAGTGAGGAGAGCATGGTAAGTGAGAGGAGTGGTGATGGAGGGGAGCAAGGTGAGTAGAGGGGAGTGCGGTGAGTGTGGTGAGTGTGGTGAGTGTGAGTGAAGATTGGTGAGTGAAGACACCGCACACACACGCGCCCGCACACATGCGCTCCCACAACAACAACAACCGCCATTTGCCACTAAGTGGCCGTGATGTCACCACGACGCTGGCAGGAGGTCACGGGGCAGACTCAGGTGCCATGGGTCGACTGACTGAGATGACTGGCTGATGCACCACGCCCATACACACGTGCTCCCACACACGCGCCCACACATACACGGGCCTGCACCCACACATGCGCGCCCACAGACACGCAGGGGAGTGGCCGTGGGGCCTGCTGATGAGTCTCAATGTGGGCGCTGTCTCTGTGGTGCAGTCGGCGGTCTCCTGCAGGTGAAGCCCAAGGAGCTGGGAGTGGCGCTCGCAACGAGCAGTCGCATCGTCAGAGGTGCGGACATGGTGTGAAGTGATGTGCTGTGACACGGTGTGGTGTGGTGTGACATGGTGTGGTGTGACATGGTGTGACGTGGTGTGGTGTGAAGCGGTGTGGTGTGACACGGTGTGTTATGACGCCGTGTGGTGTGACATGGTGTGACGTGGTGTGGTGTGATGCAGTGTGCTGTGACGTGGTGTGGTGTGAAGCAGTGTGGTGTGACTCGGTGTGGTATGATGCGGTGTGGTGTGGTGTGACACGGTGTGGTATGATGCGGTGTGGTGTGGTGTGACACGGTGTGGTGTGGCGCGGTGTAGTATGACACGTTGTGGTGCGGTGCAGGTGAGGTGGTATGATGAGGTGTGGTGAAGTGTGGTCTAGTGTAATGCAGTGTGGTGTAGTGTAGTGTGGTACAGGTGAGGTGGTGCAGGTAAGGTGGTGTCATGCGGTGTGGTGTGGTACAGGTGGGGTAATGTGTTGCAGGTGAGGTGATGCGGTGTGGTGTTGTGCAGGTGAGATGGTGTGCCGCCGCGTGCTGGTGAGCGAGGCTGAGCGAGTGAGGGATCTGCTTGCTCAGTCTCTCTACTCGCGCCTCTTCTCTTACATCGTCCACCTCGTCGACACACAGACGCGAGCGCAGCACAATGGGTATGCACACAGACACACATGTACACACACACACACATGCACACACACGTACACACACACGTACACACAAGTACAAACACACGTGTGCACACAAGCCAGGGCTGAGCATCTTCTCTGCGTGTGCTCCCATGATGCCGTGCAGCGAGCTGGTGCGAGGCATCGCGGTGCTCGACTACCCCGGCCTGCACACGTCCGGCGGTGGTGGCACCAACACCAACACCTTTGAGCAGGTGGGTGGTCCGGCCTCACCACCATGCGCGCGTGTGGGGTCACAGTTCAGTTCCATCTGATCGGAGGAATAATAGACACCCGGTGAACCTTCACGGTGTTGATGAACGTGTTGCGATTTCGTGACGAGATCGCAACAGGAGACATTAACAAAGGAGATGTTAACCACAGGATAATTAACCAGAGGAGACGTTAACTGCAGGAGGCTCTTGAACACTGCTGGGGTTACTTTCTTAGAAAGTGGCACAACAGCCAAAGCTGCAACATTCACAACTGAAGTTCCCCTGTACCTTCTCCTGGGTACACGGTGACCACAGATAGGCAACAGTACAATTGGCGCACGGGAGCTGCACTCAGGTCAGCGTGTGCATGTGTGTATGTGAGTGTACATGCGGCAAAAACAACCCTCTGCCTCCTTGTGGTGCCAAACGGGCAACGCTGTCGTGGGCAGTATCGTGGTTTGAGGGCCAATTCCGATTGGCGTTTCCCCTCATGGCATTTGTAACCACCACAGCGGCTAAATGGGGGCTCTGGACAGGTGCGAGGGGCTGATAATCCCTCCACCTTCAATTAATTACCACTAAACCACAACCACAAAATGTAATAAATAAGCTTGTGCCAGAGGCCCCAGGGGGATAGGCGTCTATGACGTCTCCTGGCCAAATCCCATTTGGCGGAGCCAGGAGACTGAATCCTTACTCTCGGGGCTCCTCCAGAAACAATAAAAAAACCACTATATGTGGCCACGTGGAATGTTCGAACGCTCACTGCGGAGGAGAGGCTGCCACTCCTCTTTCGGGAGCTGGACCGGTACCGCCTGGATCTCTGTGGTATTTAGGAGGTCGGGTGGACCGGCACTGGCTCCTGCCACCATGAGGGGTGGACAGTCCTCTACTTGGGGCAGGAGACTGCCAAACAACAGGGTGTGGCTCTTCTTCTAGAATAAAATGATGAAGGGGGCGTGGGAGCGTGGTGGTGAGGTGTGGGAAGCTGTAAACCCCAGGCTACTTTGGGCTCGCCTTCCCATCACCCAGAGGTGAGGAGTGGTGGTCGTGGTTACTTATGCCCCCACTGAAGACGAGCATCCATGGAGGGATGCAGGCAAGGCCAATGAGTCAGATACCTTCGATGACTTCCTGTCACAGGTGCTTGCCAAAGTGGCCCCTCGGGATAGAGTCATCTTGTTGGGTGACTTAAATGCCCGAGTTGGTCATGATGTTGGCACCTGGTCTAGAGTAATTGGAAGGCATGGGCCAGATCAGCTCAATAACAACGGCAGGAGGCTGCTAGATTTTTGTGCAGCCCATGGGCTTGTAATTACCAACACGCTGTTCCGGCATTACCGTATCCACACCACATCATTGATGCATGCCGGGTCCAAGCAAGAACATCTGCTGGATGCCGTGGTGGTCCCCCTCTCTAAGAAGGGGGACCGCACAGACTGTAACAACTACAGGGGCATCTCACTCCTCAGTGTGCCTGGAAAGGTCCTGGCAAGTATTATTCCACATCACCTTGCTAGGCATGCTGAGGAGAGGCTTGCGGAGCCCCAATGCGGTTTCAGGAAAGGGCGGTCCTGCACAGATGCCATATTTTCTGTCCATCTGCTACAGCAGAGGTGTAGGGAATTCCAACAAAACCTACATCTCTACTTCATTGACCTAGTTAAGGCCTATGATACCATCAGTAGGCCTGGGCTCTGGGTTTTTCTTCGTCCTTTTGGAGTATCTGACCCTCTGCTCACGATAATTAAGGACCTTCATGATGGTGAGCGGGCCCAGGTTAAACTACGTGGCCAGGAGTCAGAGCCATTCCCTGTTCACCTTGGGGTGCGACAGGGATAGCCTCTGTCTCCCCCATTATTTAACATCTATTTCGACCACGTAGTTCGTGAAGCCTTCAGTCGCTGTAACAGAGGAATTTTTATCTGGTACAGATACAATGGGAGACTGATCGATGCCCGAGTGCAGTCAAGGGATGGCTCCCTATTGCTCAACCATGTTATGTATGCCGATGATCTGGTAATTGCTTCTCACTCAGAGGAGGAGTTGGAGGTGCTGCTGCTGAACCTGGAGCTTGCCACCAAGAGGTGGGGCCTTACCATCAGCCCCACCAAAACTAAGCACCTGCCTGGGTATTTGCACCATCGGACACTCCACCCCTACAACTCTCAATTGGTAATGGGGCAGTTGTGGAGAGAGTGGAGAGTTTATCATACCTTGGCAGTGTGCTAATGACCGGCTCCGATTTAACAGCAGAGATCTCACTCCGAATCAGTCGAGTGCCATTATCTTTTCATAGGTTGCATAACGCTGTGTGGAAACTACCTGATCTATCACTCCGCGCGAAGCTTCAGGTCTTCTCGGCCATGGTCATTCCCTCCCTTCTCTACGCTTGCGAAACGTGGACCCCCCTAATGGAACATCTTCGCAGGTTAGAAACATTTAGGATGGCCTGCCTATGATCTATCCTGGGTTTAACCAGGCTGGATTGTGTGAGGAGCTCACAAATCCTTGAAAGATCTCAGTGATGCTCACAACAACGAGCAGAGCGCCAGGTGGCTAAAGCACAGCAAGTTGGCACAGTAGGGGGCACAGGTGGTGCATCAGCCAATGATCTCAGTCAGTCGACCTGTTGCATCTGGGTCTGCCCCGTGACCTCCTGCCAGGGGGTGTTCGACACTTCACAAGGCCTCAAGGTGCACATGGCCTGGCACAAACGTCGTGGTGATGTCACTGCCACTTAGTGGTGAATGGTGGTTGTTGTTGTTGTATGTGCATGTGTGTGTGCACTTAACGTGGCCTTAACGTGCACATAGCCAGGCACAAGCATCGTGGTGACGTCACCGCCTCTCGGTGGTGAATGGCATTTGTTGTTGTGCGTGCGTGGAGCAGTTAGTGCACCGCACTACGAACCCGGTCACGTGAGTTCGATTCCCGCTCACGGCCAGCACCAGTGGCGATTATCTGAACAGGTCCTGGTCCTTCCCTAGGTCGACTCAGCCTCAAATGAGAAACTGGTGCATTGTGTAAACATCGCCACTAGGGAGACGGAAGCGACCAGGTGTGGTGCTGGCCACCCACCCCATCGTGTGCCGTGCCGGCCTTCATACATGCTCGCTAACAGCACTTGCCACGACAGTCTATTAAGGCCACACGGAGATCTTTGTCTTTGTGTGTGACAGCTGTGCTCCACCTTGCTGGTGGAGCGCCTGCAGTACCACGCACACCGTGCCACCTTTGCCCTGGAGTGGAGCCAGTGCCAGGAGGAGGGCATCGCCATGGAGACGACCCCACCTCCACCACCCAGCAACTGCCAAGTCTTGCAGTTATTCTTCCAGGTCGGTAGCCCCTCCCTCCCTCCACTACCCTCCCTCCCTGCCTCCCTCCCTCCCTCCCTTCATCAGCCCCTTCCTACTACTCAGGCAGCCCCACCTACTCCCTTATGCGGAAGTCAGCAGTGGTTCCCCTATGGACAATCGCCCCTGCCACAAGAAGGTCGAATTGCCACCCACTGGCTCAGGCCTGTAAACTGGGGATGTGCACCAATGCTTCAGTGCAGGACCCCGGACGCATGGTCGCCGTTACCCAGACACCACCGTCGCGTCGCCGCGATAACCAGGACGGTCGCCTCGCATCTGGTGACGAAGCCACCAAAGGCCCTCGCCCCCCGCCCTGTCCCCCAGGCCCCTGGCGGATTCCTCTCCCTATTGGACGCTGAGTCGGAGGCTGCCAGCCAATCGGACGAGGTGGAAGGAGGCCTGCCGTGCAGGCTCCGCCTCCTGCTGCAGGCCACGCCCCTCAGAAACTCCGTTGCGTTGGCGACCCACGACGGCAACGGAAACACGCCGCCCACCGGGGATTGTGGGATCTCGTTTGTGGTGCGCCACTTTGCTGGCAAGGTACGTTGGAGTGGGAAGGTATGTGGCAGTGGGAAGGTACGTGGGAGTGGGAAAGTACGGGGGAGTGGGAAGGTATGGGGGAGTGGGAAGGTACGGGGGACTGGGAAGGTACGGGGGGACTGGGAAGGTAGGGGACTGACAAAGTTTGGGGGACACTGCTCAGTTAGTGCCATGCTGGCTAGGAGATGTTAACTCCCTCACCTGGTGTGCAGGAGGTCGTGGGTTTGATCCCGACCCTGATGCCTGCGTCTCTCTCTCCCCGTGGTCGAGTGGATTTGTCTCTGGGTCCTCCGGGTTTTTTTCCCTTTCACATTTAGAATCAACGTCACAGTATTTCGCTGCCATACATTTCCACGTGATGAATATAAGCCACTTCGTTGAGCTATCATTTGTGATGGCCAGGTCGTTCTGAAAAAGAGCTGTATAGCTAAGTGACCCATACCTGGTAAAAAAAAAATGTTTAGTTTAGTTTCAACGTCTAAACAGGCGCACAGGATCTGTGCGTGCATGTACATGCGCGTTTGATTAACCGGCACCCTCCAATCCCCGTGGATACCGGATCACGGAGCCTTTGCCATACATGGATGCTGCCTCAGTGTCACGGCTGATACACTGGAGTGTAGCGGCAAGCGCGCTGCGCTATGAGCCCGCCAACCCAAGTTGGATTCCCACTCGTGGCCAACACCGGTGATGATTATCTGAACCGGGTACTGGGCCTCCATTCGGTCAACTCAGCCTCAGATGATTACCTGGTGTGGTGTGCAGACATCGCCACGGGAGACACAAAGGCGGCTGGGCATGGTGTTGGCCACCCACCCCCTCATGTGCCATGCCGACCTTCATAAGTGCTACTGGCTAACAGCACTTGCCCCAACAATCTGTGAAGGCTATACGGGGGATCTTTGTTTGCAGGTGACCTATGACTTGAGCGGGGTCGTAACCCGCAACAGGCTGGAACTCCCACACCAAGTGACCTCACTCCTGAAAGGTCAGAGGTCACTCACGGCTGAAGGTTATGAGAGTGGGACAGGGGTCATCGGGGGACCAGCGATGACGGGGGGATGAGGGGGAGCGAGGATCGCCGGTGATGGGGGGGGGGTTGCTGTCGACGAGGGGGGGGCGAGGGTCGCCAGTGACGAGGGGGGACGAGTGTCACCGGTGATGGGGGGGGGGGGGGGCGCCGGTGATGGGGGGGTGAGGGTCGCCGGCGACGAGGGGGGACGAGTGTCGCCGGTGATGGGGGGGGGGGAGGGTCGCCGGTGATTGGGGGGGGGGGTGAGGGTCGCTGGTGATGGGGGAGTGAGGGTCGCCGGTGATGGGGGGGGGGGTCGCCGGTTATGGGGGGGGGGGTCGCCGGTGATGGGGGGGGGAGTCGCCGGTGATGGGGGGGGGGGGCGAGGGTCGCCGGTGATGGGGGCGGTTGAGGGTCGCCGGTGACGAGAGGGGGTGAGGGTCGCCGGTGACGGGACGCACCTGAGCGGGAGACGGCGCTGAGGTGGCTTGGTGCCGCGGCGTGCGTCGGGCCGGTCGTTGCATCGCGGGCGGTGGGTTACCGGGGCCGCCCCTCAATCTCCGTCCTCGCTGCGTCCGCGCCATGTGCAGTGAGTCCCAGCGTGCTGGTGAGCCGCCTGTTCCGCGCTCGCCTCTCCCGCACCGGCACCCTCGCCGACTGCGCTCTCTCCCGGCACGCACCGGGGAGATCCCATAATGCACCGTCGATGCCGCCCGCCGGTGGTGCAGCCTCCCTCGATCCTGCCAGCGTCGCCGGTCTTCCGTCCGAACGCGACGAGGACGAGGTGAGAGTAGGACGACGTTGACGATGTTGTTGATGTTGATGTTAACGACGACATTGTGTGTGTGTAACGTGTGTGCACGTGTAATGTGTGTGTGTGTGTGTGCGTGTAACGTGTAACGTGTGTGTGTAACATGTAACGTGTGTGTGCAACGTGTGTCTGCATGTGTGTGTGTAACGTGTGTGTGTAACGTGTGTGTGAGTGTAACGTGTGTGCGTGTGTGTAAGGTGTGTGTATAATGTGTGTGTGTGTTTGGCCAGACGGCAACACTGTGGTGGGCAGTGTCGTGAGGGAAGGGCCAATTTAGATTGGCCATTTCCCTCATGGCATTTGTAACCACCACAGTGGCGAAATGGGGGCTCTGGATGGGTGAGAGGGGCTGGTAACCCCTCCAGCACGTCTAAAATATCTAATGAATAAGCTTGTGCCAGAGGCCCCGGGGGGACAGGCATTTATGATGTCTCCTGGCCAAACACCATTTGACGGACCAAGTAGATTGAATCTTTACCCTCGAGACTCCTCCAGAAACAACAAAAAACCACTGAGGGTGGCCACGTGGAATGTTCGAACACTCACTGCGGAGGAGAGGCTGCCACTCCTCTGTCGGGAGCTGGACCGGTAGCGCCTGGATCTCTGTGGTATTCAGGAGGTCCGGTGGACCGGCTCTGGCTCCTGCCACCATGAGGGGGTGGACAGTCCTCTAATCGGGGCAGGAGACTACCAAACAACAGGGAGTGGCTCTTTTTCTGAACATAATAATGAAGGGAGCGTGGGAGCGTGGAGGTGAGGTGTGGGAAGCGGTAAACCCCAGACTACTTTGGGCTCACCTTCCCATCAACCGGAGGCAAGGAATGGTGGTTGTGGTCACTTATGCCCCCACCGAAGACGAACATCCATGGAGGGATGCAGGCAAGGCTGATGAGTCAGATGGCTTCTATGACCTCCTGTCACAGGTGCTAGCTAAAGTGGCCCCTCGGGATAGAGTCATCCTGTTGGGCGACTTCAATGCCAGAATTGGTCATGATGCTGGCACCTGGTCTGGAGTGATTGGCAGGCATGGGCCAGATCAGCTCAATAACAATGATAGGAGGCTGCTACATTTTTGCGCAGCCCATGAGCTTGTAATTATGAACACGCTGTTCCGGCATCGGCGCATCCACACGACATCATGGATGCATGCCGGGTCCAAGCAAGAACATCTGCTGGACAACGTAGTGACGGAACAGCGGATGCGGGCCCATATCCTTGACACCAGAACCTACCGTGGAGCTGATCTGCCCACTGACCATCGACTTGTCATCTGTAAGATGCGTCTGCCATTCTTCCATTCCGGTGGTGGGTGTACACCCAGGACCCCCCATTCAAACTCAAGGTGGCTTGGTCTCAGCTAGCTGATGAAAGTTGAAAGCGAGAATTTAATCATCGCTTGCGGCTGGGGTTGGCATCGTCCCACACTCCTCCAGATTTCGAGGGGAAATGGGCGAGGTTTAGGACTGTGACTCATGCAGCTGCAATGGCTGCTTTGGGTACGCGGTCCAGACCTCCCCAGACACCCTGGCTGACAGAGGAGGTGCTCAGGATGGTTGAGAAAAAGCGTCAGGCCCACTTTCATTGTCTACAGCATCCCACGTCAGAGAATGAGGAGGCTTACCGCAACCTTTGCTCGGAGGTTGGGGGAGACATGAGGTGCTGCAAGGATGGGTAGTGGTCACGGGTTGCTAAGGAGATGGAATCTGCATCAATGGCCCTAGATCACAAGTTGCTATTTAACTCCATCAAAAAAGTAACCTGCAGCATCATGAGGGGAAAAAACGGTGATCCAATCTCCCACCATCAGGAACAGGTTTGCAGATTTTCTGAGCATTTCTGTGAAGTCCTGGGGGAGGGGAAATCGTGGGACAAAGAGGAGATGACCCTGCTGAGGCTGCGGTGTCTCAAATATTAGAAGAGGAAGTCGCCCCCTGTAAGTGGCTGGCTGTAGTGCCATCTGTTGAGGAAGTATTAAAGGCATTCCAGAGTCTGAGACCAGAAAAGGCACCGGGCAGAGATGATTTCCCAAGTGAAATGCGTGGTGTTTGTACACAGACTGCCCTGCATGACATCATAACAACAATCTGGATCACTGGATGGGTTCCGCAGAATGGGAAGGATGCCCTGGTGGTCCCCCTCTTTAAGAAGGGGGACCGCACAGACTAACAACTACAGAGGAATCTCACTCCTCAGTGTGCCGGGAAAGGTCCTGGCAAGGATTCTTCAACATCGCCTTGCCAGGCACACTGAGGAGAGGCTTGCGGAGCCCTAATGCGGTTTCAGGAAATGGCGGTCCTGCACAGATGCCATATTTTCTGTCTGTCTGCTACAGCAGAGGTGTAGGGAATTCCAACAAAACCTACATCTCTGCTTTATTGACCTGGTCATGGCCTATGCTACCATCAGTAGGCATGGGCTATGGGTTATTTTTCGTGCTTTCGGAGTCCCTGACCCTCTGCTCACGATCATTAATGACCTTCATGATGGTGAGCGGGCCCGGGTAAAATTCCCTGTTCACCTTGGGGTGCGACAGGGATATCCTCTGAATCCCACATTATTTAACATCTTTATCAATCACGTAGTTCGTGAAGGCTGTACCGGAGGAATTTCCATCTGGTACAGATACAATGGGAGTCTGATGGATGCCCGGGTGCAGTCAAAGCATGGCTCCCTATTGCTCAACCACGTTTTTGTGCCGTTGATCTGGTAATTGCTGCTCACTCAGAGGAGGAGTTGGAGGCGCTGCTGCTGAACCTGGAACGTGCCACCAAGAGGTGGGGCCTTACCATCAGCCCCACCAAAATAAGCACCGGCCTGGGTATTTTGTACCATCGGAAACTCCACCCCCACAACTCCCAATTGGTGATAGGGCAGTCGTGGAGAGAGTGGAGAGTTCCCCATGCCTTGGCAGTGTGCTCATGACCGGCTCCGGTTTAACAGCAGAGGTCTCACTCCGAATCAGTTTAGCATAATTATATTTTCATCCGTTACGTAACGCTGTGTGGAAGCTACCTGGTCTCTCGCTCCACATGAAGCTTCAGGTCTTCTCAGCCACAGTCATTCCCTCCCTTCTCTACACTTGCAAAACGTGGACCCCCCTAATGGAACATCTTCGCCGGTTAGAAACATTTAGGCTGGCCTGCCTACGATCCATCCTGAGTTTAACCAGGCTGGATTGTGTGAGGAGCTCACAAATCCTTGAAAGATCTGGACAAAGTTCCATCAGTGAGCTCCTCCGGCAGCCAAGGTTGCATTGGCTGGGTCATTTAGCCCGCATGTCCAGCCACTGCATGCCTAAACAGCTTTTGTTTGTCCGGATCGAGGGGGCAAAACGGGCGCAGAACGGACCAGAGAAGAGATGGAGTGATGTGGTACAGGAGGATGTGGAGCTGAGTGGACTTGCCGATGTCTGGTACCAGCGGTGTCAAGATCGACCTCTGTGGAGGAGGCTCGTGAAGGACGCTACTGGGCAGTTGGAGGCAGTCGCCCTCTAACAACAACGGAGGGTGGAGGAGCGATGCTCACAACAACGAGTGGAGCGCCGGGTGGCTAAAGCACAGCAAGTTGGCACAGTAAGGGGCACAGGTGGTGCATCAGCCAGTCGTCTCAGTCAGTCGATCCGTGGCATCTGGGTCTGCCCCGTGGCCTCCTGCCACTTCACGTGGCCTCAAGATGCACATAGCCTGACACAAGCGTCGTGGTGACATCACCGCCACTTAGTGGCCAATGGCGGTTGTTGTTGTTGTGTAACGTGTGTACGTGTAAGGTTTTTCTGCGTGTAACGTGTGTGTGTGTAACGTGTGTGTGTAACGTGTGTGTGCGTGAAAAGTGTGTGTGTAACGTATGTGTGCGTGTAACGTGTGTGTGCGTGTAATGTGTGTGTGTGCAACGTGCGTGTGTAACGTGTGTGTAACGTACGTGTGTGTAACGTGTGTGTAACGTGTGTGTGCATGCAACGTGTGTGTAACGAGTGTGCATGTAACCTGTGTGTGTGTCACGTGTGTGCATGTGTGTAACGTGTGTGTGTAACGTGTGTAGTGTATGTGTAACGTGTGTGTGTAACAGGTGTGTAGTGTGTGTAGTGTGTGTAACATGTGTGTGCGTGTAACGCGTGTGTGTTTAACGTGTGTGTGTTTAACATCTGTGTGGGTGTGTGTAGGGTGTGTATAATGTGTGTGTGTGTACCGTGTGTGTGCGTGTAACGTGTGTGTGTGTAGTGTGTAACGTGTGTGTGTGTGGTGTGTGTAACGTGTATGTGTAACGTGTGTGTGTAGTGTGTATGTGTGTAACGGATGTGTAGTGCGTAGTCTAACGTGTGTGTGTGTGTGCGTGTAACGTGTGTGTGTGTAACGTGTGTGTAACGTGTGTGTGTGCCAGTTTGGCGAGGCTGCGTCTGAGCAGGTTTACTCGGGGTCCGTCCACTCAACCCCGACTCGCTGCACGCAGCTCACAGTGAGTCCACGTCGCGACCGACCCACACCGATCGGTTAACCACCCCACCCAGGGCAGTCTTCACTAACAGCTGAGTGCATGTGGTGGGTGTGTGGGCGATGGCGGCCTCACAAAGACCAAGATCTCCCATGTAGCATTAATAGATTTTTGGGACAAGTGCGGTTTGATTGCGGCACCTACAAAGGAATCTCCTGTGTAGACTTAACAGACTGTTGGGGCAAGTGCTGTTAGCGAGCAGCACCTACGAAGGGGGGGGGGGGGGAGTGGCACGTGTCCGGCCAATGATCCGATCTAAATCCCTCATTTCGATCGTATCATTGGGGTTTATTAGTACTAAATCGGCATTTTGCAACCCCCACTGCCACTGTGTAGTATATTGTTACGTGTGTAATGCGAGCATAAATGGGGTTGTTGCTGGGTTCTGGTCCAATCACATGGCCCGGGGTATTGGGGGGCGGAGCCTGGTCTGCGGGGCGTGTGGGAGGGGCCACCGTTCACCTCGGCTCCAATGGGAGGCGAGCGGGGCAGTATGGGAAGGCCGAATCTGACGATCCGGAAGGGGAGGAGTCAGGGTCACGTGGGGGGAGGGAATATAAGTGAGAGCCCGGAAGAGATCGGGGTAGTCGGGGAAGTTAAGAGTCTGAGCCACGTTGGGTGGTGAGAGAGATCCGCGCCATCGGCCACCTGGCCGTCGGCCAGCGGTGTGCGGAGTGCGGGAGTAGAGGAGCTAACGGAGGAGCGTGCGCAGCACGCGAAAGGGAGCGTGCGCGGCACGCGGGAGGGAGACGCTGGTCCCTTATCAGGACCAGCGGGGTGTGAGGGCGAGTGAAGGAGCTGACGAGGGAGCACGTGTTGGGTGCGCGCGTGACGACCCTGGTCCGAGGAGGAGACCAGCAGGGTGCGGAGAAGAACCTAAATAAAAGACAAGCGGAGACCAGCAGTGCCTGACGGAGTCTTTTATTACACGTGCCAGGGACTCTGAGATGATAGGACAATAGCAAAGTGACTCACAGAATTGTGCACAGTTGCGTATACAGTACATGACTTCCCTGAAGGGATACCTTCAGCGAGCACGATGCCGATCACACACAGTTCGAATTCGACCCTTCATTGATGGCGGCAGAAGCGTCCCATGAGCCATTTGCCAGAGCGCCCTCCAACTCACCGTCACCGTTTCGCGATCTCCTGACCCTTTGTCTTCAACGGCGGCAACTGATGAATCAGAAGCAGAAACGCTGGCCAACTCCCCGCCTCTAGCGCCATTGCCCGCAGGGGGTGCGCGTCGTCGATCAGGATCCCGGGACGAGACCCGCCATTTCGACGTATGATCCGAACAGTGTCAACGAGATCCGTCGTTCGTACCTGATGCAGGGCCAGTTCGTTCCCTGCCCCTGTTCGTCGGATGGCAGCATGTACCCGTTAAAGATGATGGGGCGATAAAAGCGCCGCCCGCAGGTTTGAGACGCACCATTGGCTCGAATACTCGTTCCACACCGAGTCGGTCTACTGCTTCCCGTGCTTCTTCTTCCCGTCCTACAATTGCTCGGACGTGTTCGTCTCAGACGGGTTCTCGGCCTGAAATAAGGTGGGCGTCCGCAATTGCTGCCTTCGCCAACATCAAGGTGGCATGCAGTCACTCCACAACCAAGGGGTACAGAAGGCCAGAGACTTGATGAACACGGAGATGCACATCATCATGGGCAAGCACGGCCTGGAGAAGCAGACGGCCCAGGCGATTGCCGACAATCAGACTCGGTTGGAGGGATCAGTCGATGCATCACGACTAGTCTCGACATCCAGAAGGACATCATCCACGCCCACGCCCAGATCGTCCGAAAGCTCCTCGATGATGAATAAGCTGACGCCTTCTACTGCATCATGGTGGACGAGACGCTCGATGCGAGCAAGAAGGAGCAACTGGCCGTCGTTAACTGCTTCGTTGAGATCAAGACTGGCGTGCTGCGCGAGCGTCTCATCGACCTGAAACACGTCACCGACACATGCGCCCCCACGCTCCGCAATTCAATTGTCGACATGCAGACCAATCACGGTCGCCCGATCGCCAACTGCCGTGGGCAGGCCTATGATGGCGCGTCCAATATGAGCGGCGAGATCAACGGCCTGCACGCCCTGATCAAGCAGCTGAATGATTTGGCCTATTATGGGCACTGCTGGGTGTACAAACTCCAACCCGCGCTGGTTGCTGCTTGCAAGGATGTCGTCCCCGACATCGGCCTGTTCTTCACATTGGTCATTGACATCATCAATGTGGCGATGAGCTCCTGCAAGCGCAACGACGATCTCATCAACACGCAGAAGAAGATTGTGCTGGAGATGATCAACGATCTGCTGGATTGAGCCAGCAGACGGCATTGGTGCGTCCAGGTGACACGTGCTAGTCGTCGTTCTGGCACGCACTGCATCGCTTGATCGACATGTTCGGCGTGACAATGCAAGTCATCCAGCATGTGGAGACGGATGGCAGCAAGTCGGAGCAGCGGGTAGAGACGACGCGCCTGCTCGACGGCATGTGCACGTTCAAGTTTGCATTCATCTTGCACCTAATGGAGAAGATGCTGCTTATCATGCATGATCTGTCCCAGGCGCTGCAAACGAAGGACCAGGACATCGTCAATGCATTGCGGTTGGTCGATGGCATCGTCGAAGCGCTGACAGAGATGCGCGTTACCGGCGACGATGACCTGCTCCACAAGGTGCAGCAGTTCTGTGAGACCCACAAGTTCGAGGTGTCCGAGATGACTGCCAACTTCGTCCAACCTTGCCAGCCTCGTAGCAATCGGCACAAGAACACCAATTATCATGTTTTCCGTGTCGACCTGTTCTACCGAGTGATCGACAAGTTGCTGGCCGAGTTCGCCTACATATTCAGCGCCGAGGCAATGGAGATGCTCTGCCTAGCAGCATGTATCTCTCCACGCAAGGAGTTTGCCTCGTTCAATGTCGACAAGCTCGTGGAGCTGGCCCGCAAGTTCTACATGATTGACTTTCCTGACGTCGACCTAATGCTTCTCGATCGGCAGGTGTTCCACTTCGGCAGGGAGATAAAGGATGAGCTATTGAAGAATATGGGCACACTCCCTGAACTATCGGTCATGCTGGTGCTGACCGACTGGGCCACGGCCGGCTACCACCTTGTATAACGATTTCTGTGACTGATACTGACCCTGTCAGTGGCGACAGCATGACCGAGCGCGTCTTCAGCATCCTGAAAATCATCAAGACGCGTTTGCGTACCGCAATGGGCTCCGACTACCTCAATGACGCCATGCTGCTGTATGTACAGTGAGGGAAAAAAGTATTTGATCCCCTGCTGATTTTGTACGTTTGCCCACTGACAAAGAAATGATCAGTCTATAATTTTAATTGTAGGTTTATTTGAACAGTGAGAGACAGAATAACAACAACATCCAGAAAAACGCATGTCAAAAATGTTATCAATTGATTGGCATTTTAATGAGGGAAATAAGTATTTGACCCCTATGTAAAACATGACTTAGTACTTGGTGACAAAACCCTTGTTGGCAATCACAGAGGTCAGACGTTTCTTGTAGTTGGCCACCAGGTTTGCACACATCTCAGGAGGGATTTTGTCCCACTCCTCTTTGCAGATCTTCTCCAAGTCATTAAGGTTTCGAGGCTGACGTTTGGCAACTCGAACCTTCAGCTCCCTCCACAGATTTTCTATGGGATTAAGGTCTGGAGACTGGCTAGGCCACTACAGGACCTTAATGTGCTTCTTCTTGAGCCACTCCTTTGTTGCCTTGGCCGTGTGTGTTTGGGTCATTGTCATGCTGGAATACCCACCCACGACCCATTTTCAATGCCCTAGCTGAGGGAAGGAGGTTCTCACCCAAGATTTGACAGTATATGGCCCCGTCCATCGTCCCTTTGATGCGGTGAAGTTGTCCTGTCCCCTTAGCAGAAAAACACCCCCAAAGCATGTTTCCACCTCCATGTTTGACGGTGGGGATGGTGTTCTTGGGGTCATAAGCAGCATTTCTCCTCCTCCAAACACGGCGAGTTGAGTTCATGCCAAAGAGCTCCGTTTTGGTCTCATCTGACCACAACACTTTCTGGTTGCTGCTTGCAAGGATGGCGTCCCCGACAACGGCCTGTTCTTCACATTGGTCATTGACATTATCAATGTGGCGATGAGCTCCTGCAAGCGCAACGACGATCTCATCAACACGCAGAACAAGATTGTGCTGGAGATGATCAACGATCTGCTGGTCTGAGCCAGCAGACGGCATGGGTGCGTCCAGGTGATACGTGCTAGTCGTCGTTCTGGCACGCGCTGCATCGCTTGATCGACATGTTCGGCGTGACAATGCAAGTCAACCAGCATGTGGAGATGGATGGCAGCAAGTCGGAGCAGCGGGTAGAGACGACGCGCCTGCTCGACGGCATGTGCACGTTCAAGTTTGCATTCATCTTGCACCTAATGGAGAAGATGCTGCTTATCATGCATGATCTGTCCCAGGCGCTGCAAACGAAGGACCAGAACATCGTCCATGCATTGCGGTTGGTCGATGGCATCGTCGAAGCGCTGACAGAGATGCGCGTTACCGGCGACGATGACCTGCTCCACAAGGTGCAGCAGTTCTGTGAGACCCACAAGTTCGAGGTGCCCGATATGACTGCCAACTTCGTCCAACCTTGCCGGCCTCGTAGCAATCGGCACATGAACACCAATTATCATGTTTTCCGTGTCGACCTGTTCTACCGAGTGATCGACAAGTTGCTGGCCGAGTTCGCCTACATATTCAGCGCCGAGGCAATGGAGATGCTCTGCCTAGCAGCATGTATCTCTCCACGCAAGGAGTTTGCCTCGTTCAATGTCGACAAGCTCGTGGAGCTGGCCCGCAAGTTCTACATGATTGACTTTCCTGACGTTGACCTAATGCTTCTCGATTAGCAGGTGTTCCACTTCGGCAGGGAGATAAAGGATGAGCTATTGAAGAATATGGGCACACTCCCTG